TTCTTATTGCTAATTTTATAATATCATTTGCATCTGGCATTACACTACACTGTATATTAAATGGTATTTGTAATCGTGGTATAGATGTTGTATGCAATAAAAGAATAACAAAAGTTTTTGTTAAAACTGTATAATCTTTTAACAGTCGTTATCATTTGAAGAACAAGGACGCTATAAAGCACACAAGGAGCATCCCACAATTGATTATCTTCTACTAGTGTGCAATTGATTATCTTCTCTGACGTGCGAGAGCAGATGACTTTTTTCTCTTTCTGCAGGTAATAAAACAGCATTGAAATACCCCTCCACTGTTCTGCACTGATATGAACAGTTTTTTTGTAACTTTTAAAATGATTAGCTGCATTTCATTTAAAATAATATATCATTGTGTTACATACATGAATGTATAAACACAGGCACACATATAGATCTTATCTTGTCTCCAACAAACAAACAAAACAAATTAGCCACTAGTGGTGTTCAACCTTTTTGATATCCAATTATATTGATTACTTAGCAAAAATTAAAGGCATTTCAGGCATAACAAATGCAAATATAGATGTTAATCTGTCTTGATGTACTGTGTAATTACTATACAATAAATCCAATTACAAGTGATGATCAAAATCATTCCATCCACGGTGTTAAATTATTGCTACGTGGTTTCAAAAATTCCATTAGAACAGACATTTCTTCTTCCTTCACCGCATCAAAACCCAGTAGAGTGTTGAATAATTCCTTTTGATAGAGACGGAGCACAGCAAACTGTCTTTGTTCTTAAAGGAAAAGGTTAACAACAAACTGAAAGAAAATAAGTTTGTTTCACTATAACACAATGCAGGATTGATACGTCTGAAAGACATTAAATACCTTACTGTCAATTTCAACTGGCTTTACTTTTGAAGTGCCCTGACTTTCATGATGTGATGAGAATAGATTTTTTGGTAAACACAGAATAATGTCTGTGTGTTTAAATATCTTCTGATATTTAGAGCACGAATAAAGTTACTAAAAGAACAGAAGCAACAATTTTAGAGGAAAAGGTAGGAGGTTCAATAGGTAGAATTATTGTTTTCTTGTTTCCAAAACTTTTTGAGTAGTAAAAGTAAAAATGCACACGTTAGGAATACAAGACACAGGAATATTTATTCTAAATGAAACAATTTGATATAAAATACTTTGTATAAAACACAACATAACGTTAAAAGCATTAATGGAATTTGTTTCATGTTTGTATAAGTTAGAGTATAAAAATGGCTTTAGACATAGAAAAATACAAAGACCAGATTTTTTTCCTCCTGCCCATATCTAACACCAGAATTTAATCTGGATATACATGGAGAGCTTTGAGCGTGTTTGTCAGATGTCATTGGACATTCCTCGCAATAGCACTGAGAAGAAAAGTTTAATTTTCTTTAAAAAAAGCTCCTTGTGCAGTTTTACGCTAGAAGACTGCAGACAATTCAGGGCCGACCTGACAGTGTATGCAATTTGGGCCTGCTTTCTCTTATTGTTGCACGCTGCGCGTCTTGCTAACACAAGCTTCTTTAATGGCTTTTCCCTGTATAAATTGTATCGTCTCACCTAGATTAAGTGACACCGGTGTAAAAGTGACACCAATGGAAACGCTAAAATATAGATTCATCTCAGAAAGGGTCTTTTTCTGAGTTGAGCCTTGCAGGGTAAAAGCCTCCAGAGTGTTATATCCAACACAGGACTTACACACGATGGATCCGTGCATGAATGACCATCATGTGTGAAAGACTGTCGGATGGTTTAATTCCACAATTACCGTCCAGCTCCTGATGGATACCTGATTGGGTCCATTTGGTCTGGTGTAACATGTAAAGACTCCGTCATCAGTTCATAGAGAGGCGGCCCTGTTGACTATTTAGTTATGATGGCCACGGGAAGTAGGCAATCAAATCCGTCTTTTATTGGCTGTTGCTAGGATACCAAACTTATGTGAATCACCCTGTACATGATGAGATTTGTGCAGGCTCAACACTTGAATGCAATGCATCATTCCACACACAATGTACTGAAAAAAATGCTGTACAAGAGGGGGAAATCTAAGAAGAAAAGTTGAACAGACTGGCGGAGGGACGACGGAGAGCAGCTTGCAAGGAGATTGGATGCCCGTAGGAGGTCTGATATAAAATCCTCTCACAGACACCGTTGATGAGAAACAACATGTTTTTTTCTGGTCAAAAGTGACTTATATTGACGAGGTAATCTTTTTTTTATATTTCTTCTTGGATGTTTTACCATCAAAGCCCTGCAGCTGGCAGAAATATTATTTATTTATCAAACGAAGTGAAAATGAAAGGAAAGCACGCTGTCCATCAGGCTCAATAAGTGTCCTTAAAATAGTAAACAGACTCTTTCCAGGGGTGTTACCTGTATTTCAACAAACATTCACATTGAGGAAGAGGATTGTTACAAGTTTGGGAAAAGAATGCCAAGTGTGCTAAGCTAGGCTAACTTCCTGTTCAATTTAGCTTCATATTTGTTGTTCTGACAAGAGAAAGGATTGACCTTCTCCTCTAACTCTTGACAAAAAAACTAAATGATCGTATTTATTATTATGTCAAACTATTTATTTCAACAAAGCAACGAGGAAGGCTTGAATCCCACCCGAGGTACCAAGACTGGAAAAGCCTTTGTTGTCAAAGGAAAAGAGAGAAATTGGAAATGTGGTTATTAGGGAGCTTCTTGTTTTTAACTCCTCTTTGGAAGAAGGCATTGGATTGTGTAGCTAAACATATCAGACTGAATGTGCCATACTCAATATCTCAGGAGTTCAGGAACTTCAGGTTTGTGTTTAGCTGCTGAGGCTGTGCAGTAGGCGCCTAATTAAAGCAACCTGCTGTGAACCAGGTTACGACACATCTTCCAGCTGGGAGAGACATGTTGGCATTAGCGTTCATTCGCAAATATTAATGGCTCATTAAGCATTAATGTATCTCTCAGATCAGTATTTACACAGTACCAGTTTCTCCCGTCTGGTTAGAGTGTGCCTAAGCATTAGGAGCTATTAATGTTTAGTCAAACAGAAGAAACAGATGTCTGCTACAAGGCATATAGTGATTACCAGGTAGTCCAATCAAATGTAAACAAAATGAAGATAAATCTGTGCTGAGCTGTCAACATGTAAAATATCATCATGGGCCTTGGGGGGGAAGAGTGAGTACAAAAAAAGCATTAGCAATGGCGCAATTGGCTGTAAAAGATCCAAAACACTTAATGATGTGGGAGTGGAATGCATGCTGGCACATATAATAATCCCCCTGTAATGAGAATTCACTATATCACTGGCTTTGTTCATGCTCCGGCATCTCTGAGAGAGCTTAGCCACCAGAACAGTAACCATACGCCAAAGAGCAGGAGATGGCATTGCATACAATTGAGAGAAAAGTGAAATTACACACAAAAAGAACTAATTTGGATAATAAGGGCAGAAATGTGATATTAGAGGCTTTTAAAAATGTCATGTCCATGATTTCTCTGCTTTTGAATGATTCAATTAAGTCATTGTGGTGGTTAACAGTGTCATCTCTGAATGAGGTTGTACTTCAGGGGGTGAGGGAGCGAGAAGAATCAGCTTTGAGCTGTTCTAGTTGTCAAAGATTAGAATGCAGACAAACTAAGCCTTTGCGAATCCTGAGCCCAAGGTGCTACGGGAACAAAATTAAGATCAAGGAGCGACGATAAAAATGTTTTTAATTTCAGATCTGATTAAAGGGAAGAATTCTCATTACAACTCTTTAACCTAAGAAAAAATACCATTGAAAATACAGATGTACAAGTACAACATTATTGTCAATGAAATTTAAGTCAATATAAAGGTTAATGATCCTGTTGAGAAAAGGCCCTTCTACTTTTACTGTTAGTGAATGAATGCTGTATTCTATTAATTTATTTGGTCGAGGTGGAGGAATTTTATAACTCCTTTATTTACAGTTGCTAGTTTAGTACACTTGTTCCCAGTCAGGAAAACTGTTCAACTGCATACTTAGTAGTAGGTAGGTTTTTATTTAACATCTATGAAGGCTGGACTTTCTTTGTAATTTCAGTGAATATAATAGTCTTGTATTAATTTGAATTTGAAGAGAATTCATAACAGCCCAAGAATAACAGCAGCCATGAAGATAAACAATTTTGGTGATAAGTCTGCAGAAAGACAGAAATTAGTCTTCCGAGGTTTTATAAGACATAAACAGTTAAAAGTGTTGAGCTACCATCTTGTGAGATTAAACTTGTATGTTTTTTATAATAATAATGGTAAATACATGGTTTCATTATGTGAAAAAAGTTTTAAAAAATGAATGTATCCATCAAACTCCTCAAAGTTCCTTCCTCATCAAAGATCCAGAGAAGCTCTAGTACACATAAATGTATGCGCTCACAGCCCACAGCTCAACATTCATACACTCTGTTTTTTTGAGTAGCCCAAGTTCTGCACTATATATACTCTGTGTCATTTCGGTACTTTTTCATCTAATTTATCATGGCCTAAATTATGTTTTAAAACGTTCTCTCCACAGGCGTAATCCAAGAAGAGTACACTTAATGACAATCTCCCACAAAAATGTGTGATTTTTACTACTCCACCTAACATATTTAAGCAATAAGTTACGAGAGGCTGTACTTTATCATCAAATAATGTTATAGTTTGAGGATGTTGTTAATAAAGTAAGACAGCAATAAAGTACACCCTATGACTCACTCACTCACCTCATACACCCGTATTATAAGAGGACAGGTCTTGTTAATGGAATTCCCTGAGGTGAACTACCTGGATACTTATTCCATCACAGTTATTGAATTATAGGTTACTGAAGAAAGACTTACTCAGGGGGAAATCTCGCTCTCTCTCTCGCTCTCCCTCTCTCTCTCTCTCAGCAGCAGCACCAGCATGAATCCCTCCCACACAGAATTTCGCCCATACAGGTTCGCAGAAAACGTCAACAAAAAGCACGTGTGTACTTCCCGCTTGCCGTAGTTTGCGCCGCCATTGTTTGACAGCTCTCGTTGCTAACCAGCAGCTTTCCTGGTGACCCGCTCAACAAGAACAACAAAGGAAAAGACACTTCTGAGTGCGACGTGGATTATTTTAGGACGCCTCACGGCGACACGGAGAGCATGAACGAGGACGTACGTTGCCGAAAGGTACTTTGATACTTCCTCCTACACTTCCGACAGCGGTAGTTAGCGTTAGCCTCTGTCAACAGTGTGGTAAAAGTTGACCGCATGGTCCGTGTTTCTGCCGCATACAAAGTCCTTTGTTAAGTATTGTTATCAGAGAAAGGGTAACGTAGCCATGGATAGGTTGCTAACTAACGTTAGCTAACGAGTGCGAGTACGTAACGTAAGAAAGTAGCGTAACGTCAAGTAACAACGTAACGTTAACGTACCCCGCGGACCCAGCCTTAATACGTCGGTTTCATATTTATATATTAATCAATTACACCGCTGGTTTATGTTCTTGAACTGTTTCCCACACACAAAGAAGAGGCTGGAAGAAGAAAAAGTAAAAGTAACTGCGCTGGTCTAACGTATTTTCCGGAGAGTTGAATTAACGTTAAGCAACAACGGCAGAACTTTCCGCTGAATTTCAGAGGTTTAACGTTTGCGATTCACAGAAGTGGGGACGCCTTTTTTTGACCTGCGAAATAATTTTCTTACAACTTAAAGCTGTACAGGCTCTGCTGTATCCAATAGATCCACGTTTGTAAAAGTACTCCACAGTTGAGGAACGTTTGAATCAATTTTTCTAACTGAACACCGACGTTGAGCCAAAGCAGCACGTGGTTGACGTGTTGCTTGGTGGAGGTTTACTTCATAAGCTCCTCACCTCGTGAGGCGAAATGAATGAGTGCTGGACCCCGCAATGGGGTTCGCCTCGCTGCACTTCCGGCCCTCTGGTCAATGGGTTTCTTTTTAACGTGTGTTAAGCCTAGTTTATGCTTCTGCGTTTTCAGAGCGACGCAGACGCAAGACCCCCTTGCGTGTCCCTTGCGTGCCTTTTCACACCTCCTCTGATTCATGGAGGAAGATCTCCGCAAACGTCGGTTTTGCCGGTCGAGAGGTGCACAAAGTTGTGGAGGAAAATACGGGACAAATGTCTCCGCGATGAAAAGCAGCAGTGGCGATGCACGGGGCGATAAAGTCTATGATAAATAAATAGACAAACCAACAACTTCCACACACAAAGACGTGACTCTCTGACTCTCTGTTCTGGCGGTGAATTGCTCTGCAACACATGCAAGACTTTTAGAACCATGAATTGAAATGAGTGCAGAAGCATGCGCCAGCCTTTAGTTGGATCCCTGAAATAAGATCTGTGACGAACACACGTTTTCTTTGTTTTGTTCTACAACATAAAGTGCGTGATTTAAATATCTTGTGAAATCTCAAGGCACATGTAGAGTAATTCGTTTTGCTGGAGAGAATTTGGGGTCAAGTTACTGTTCTGCAGTGTCATACATTTGCGAACCCCCTGGTTTGTTCTTGCATCAGCACTGCGTGGGTCATATGGAAATAAGAATAATTCCTGTGGCACTTCTCTAAATGTTCAGACCTTGGCCGTTGGTAGGGGCATGCGAATGGAGACCTGGGGCCTCATTTATAAACGTTGTGTACGCACAAAAGAAGGCGTACGCCGCTCTCTACGCAATAATTGGTATTTATAAAAAGCAAACTTGACGGAAAAATGTGCGGTCCTTCACGCAAGCTCGGACCCATGCGTACGCACAAAAACGGGTGAAATGAGAACCGTGAGAACGCTTTTTTGCATCCACTTTGACTCTGATTTGACCATTTTTTCTTTATTTCGGCCGAGGTTGTGAGGCTGCAGCGTTGCTCTGCATCCTTTTGCCACTCAAGTGCCTTTTTGGCATTAGTAATGTCCACACTGTGCCCTCCAAAAAGCGTTGTACTTCTCCTTTCCACCTCGCCAATGATAATTTCGAAGTTACGTTTATTCATTTTCCTCTGTGTTTGTCATTATTTCGCAAACAATGAATATTAATTTGTGGGCGTTCCACAGACTATATATGGGCAACTATGGGCGTGACATGAAGCCGCAAAAGCTGCGCTGCATTTAGAAGTGATTGTGATTTATTAAGGGAAAACTGCGTATTTCTGTGCATACGCACGTCCTATGTTTCATCCGTACGCCACTTATGGCGCAAATCCTACGTAAGGTTTTATAAGTGAGACCCCTGACCTCTAAAAATACGGAGGATCATTGCCAAAGACACCTCTGCAAACAATTTAATTTCTAGAAAAGCTCATGACTAGCTGCTTTTCTTTAGGGAGATTTGAAGGATTACTGAGTCAGTAATGAAAACTGCCTGAGATGTACAGTGCATCCGGAAGGTATTCACAGCGCTTCACTTTTTCCACATTTTGTTATGTTACAGCTTTATTCCAAAATGGATTAAATTAATTATTTTCCGCAACATTCTACACACAACAACCCATAATGACAAAGTGAAAACTGCAAAGCAAGAAAATTTTGGCAAATCTGTTAAAAATAAAGCACGAAAACATAACACCAAATCACAGCCTTTGCCATGACACTCGAAACAAAGATTGAACTCTTTGGCCTGAATGCCAAGCGTCATGTCTGGAGGAAACCAGGCATTGCTCATCACCTGGCCAATACCATCCCTACAGTGAAGCATGGTGGTGGCAGCATCATGCTGTGGGGATGTTTTTCAGCGGGAGGAACTGCGAGACTAGTCAGGATTGAGGGAAAGATGAATGCAGCAATGTACAGAGACATCCTCGATGAAAACATGCTCCAAAGCGCTCTGGATCTCAGACTGGGGCGACAGTTCATCTTCCAACAGGACAACGACCCGAAGCACACAGCCAAGATAACAAACTTCGGCACAACTCTGTGAATGTCCTTGAGCGGCCCAGCCAGAGCCCTGACTTGAACCCTATTGAACATCTCTGGAGAGATCTGAAAATGGCTGTGCACCGACGCTCCCCATCCAACCTGATGAAACTTGAGAGGTTCTGCAAAGAAGAATGGGAGAAACTGCCCAGAAATAGGTGTGCCACGCTTGTGGAATCACACCCAAGACTTGAGGCTGTAATTGCTGCCAAAGGTGCTTCAACAAAGTATATAGCAAAGGCTGTGAATACTTATGTACATGTTATGTTTTCGTTCTTTATTTTTAACAGATTTGCCAAAATTTGCTTGCTTTGCAGTTTTCACTTTTTCATTATGGGTTGTTGTGTGTAGAATGTTGAGGAAAATAATTAATTTAATCCATTTTGGAATAAGGCTGTAACATAACAAAATGTGGAAAAAGTGAAGCGCTGTGAATACTTTCCGGATGCACTGTATGCTGCTGTCGTACAGGGCTGAAGGTCTAATTCCAACAATGAGCTGAAGCATGTCTTCACAGGTATACTCATATATATATATATATATATATATATATATATATATATATATATATATGTATATATATATATAATGGTATAAATCTTGACTCTTCATTTTTTTTATAGAGAGGCGCTGTTTATTGCAGAGGTTAATCCTCCTATTGATTAAAAATGGATGCCATTTGTTCTCTCCCACTTTCATCCCCGTTTTAAGAAAATAGGCTTATTGATGCTTTGATGTTGTTAATAAGAGCAAGTGGGCGGTTTATTAAGTGACTGATTAGGGGGGTGCTTACCTATTTTATATCTTATCTAGAATCAAAAATGCAACCGAAATCAATGATGCATTCTTTATACAAAAATCAAATCTACTGAAATTATTATTTTATGTTGATCAACCTAATCGTTAATAAATGAACATTTTGATCAATGAAGTCATTTCCCAAGCAAACCTTTTGTGGCTGCCTCTAACAATTATTTTCTTTTAATTGTTCTGTCAGTTAATTTAGCAATTAACCTGTAGTCAATGACACATGAATAGTAACAAAATGCATTTACCTTAGAAACCTCAACATATACTGCGACATGTTGATGTTTATAATTTGATAGGTTTTGGACTTTTAGTTGGCCAAAACAATTGTGGAAAATAAGGCAATTAATCAAAAACAGGAAATTGTCACAGCTCCAAAGATTGAGCGATTCTGTTAAGTAGATTATCTTGACCATCACGTATTAAATACCAAACAAATTAGCCGCAGCTTCCAAAATGAATATCTAATTCTGTAACGTTTAGGAGTTCATGGAAGAGCCCCCTTTCCATCACATTTCAGATTGTTTGTATTCCCTGTTGGAAGACTGTTCTGTAGTTTCCGTGCCTCCCTCTAGATTTGCCTGATTTATTTAAGCAGCGTTGAGGACCGCTGCACCAAGATGTAATAGGGGTGTCAATATTCCTCATGTCAGCAGGTTGTGCTTCATTAATCCGTCTGATTGATCCGCCATCTATGTGGTTGCATGACCTTGCTTTGCACAAATAAGAACTGCACCCATGGCAGCGTTACCTGATCTACTGCTTTGTTGATGGATTTGTGCTCGACTTGTTGGAAGCGCAGGGCAGACACATGAACCTCCTCCCCCCCCCCCCCCCCCCCCGCTGAGAGTGCTGAGGACTATTGTGATAGGTGGGAGGTCATTGGGCTCTGTTGGCTTGTCTGAGTCCCGTCAGCTGCAAACCTCAGTGAGAAGTATATGAGGTACGGACAACAAAGGCAGCTAGTCCTTCAAACTCGAGGAACTTCTCCGATTTGCTGGATCCGTATGCCTGGTGCACTTTATGATTATTCTCTAGATTAACTATTAAGACCATATGATATCATAAACCACTAAAATGCCCATCTCAATTTCCTGAAGCCTATGCTGATGCCATTGGATTGTTTGTTTGGTTTGCCAAAACCTGAAAATGTGAGGTTTATTCTTGCAGAAGACCAAGGAGACTCACCATTCATTCACTATCTCAATTTTAGTGCTGCAGCATCAATGATGCATTATACTCATGACTCAATACCAGGCTACGGATGGCTACTCTGACTTTAGAAGTGAGAAAAGTCAATTTCTAATCTTACTCCTACAACAAGCCAAATACACATGAATGCTGAAGAAAAACTAGACGAAACAATCTGTTACACCTACACATTCCTAAACTTTACCAAATATACCTAATACAACCTAGTGTGGAGCTGTTAACACCGTTTAGTGACACGGCACGT